GAGGAACAAAGGGAACATACCGCTGAAAATGAAACGACTAGCTGGTCCAGCTTTGCGATGAGACCAGGTCCGTTCCGTGTCATTTCTCTCATTGACGCTGTCACCTGGTCTCTCGTGCTCCTTGCCTCCCCCGCTGGGGGAGGCTATTTCTTGCTTGCAGCTGCTCCGACCCTCACGGTGCCACCGCATGTTTTTGGCATGTCTTCGTAGCAGCCTCCTTAGAATTCCGTCTTGGGACTCAGTTGCAATACTTGCAAACCTCAGTTGCAAGTCAAGTGGAATATTTGCAGGGGCAGAGGTGAGAGGCCACCTGAACCTCCTACTCCCTCTCGCTAGTCCAGGGTCTTTGCTCCACATGGCTGCGAGGCTGCAATGCCCTTTGTCGCTCCTCCCTTGTCCCCCGACCGGCATCCCAGGTGCGCTATGACCAAGCCAAAGACACGAGCAGACTAAAATTTTGTCTCGCAGGTGTGAAGAGTTCTTGACACGGTATTGGTCACCTTGAAAATACTCACAAGGTCGTTGGCGCGTACGCATTCTTTGATACAAGTTGTGCCGTGCCTTGCTTCGCATGGACCTTAACAGAACCTGATTTGAACCTCACTCTTGCTTTCAGTCTGCTCATGCATACGTAAACGCTGTGCACTTTCGGTGGGACACCTTCCTGCCAACAAGCAGAATGCAGTCTTGTCCTGGACGTCCTGTACTGAGAGCGGCTTGAGAAGAATTCATCGCCCCGTTTCACTTCTGTGTTGGACTTCGGATCTGCACCTTTTGCTCTTTAAGACTAGAGCGGACATGAGCCTGATCTGCTTGGTTTCTGTGGCTGTTTTTTGTTTTTTGTTTTTGGTTGGTTTTGTGTGTTTTGGTTTGGTTCCGTTGCTCTCGTTTGTCAGGCTCATTTCCTCACACTCCTCATACGAATTCGACCCGGTGACTTGTGCCTCTCGGCACACATAGCGCCCCTACCCGTGCAAAAAAGGTCTATCTCTCAGTCTGGCTCCCAGTGACCTCTTTGGAAATTTTGTCTTTCTGTGGCTCCCGTGGCCAAGCTGTTTTTTGGAGTCATCGCTGCAAATCCAAAGAGCACATCTGCCGTCTCCCCCCTTTGGGGGGGGGAGTTTTGGCCGTGTCGGAATAGTGCATGCTCACAATGCATCGCTGCTCTGCATCTTGTGGCTCCGCTGTTTCGATTTGCAGTCCTTGTCTGCCGACACAGTGGTCTTCCTTGAGCCTCATGTGCCTTGATGTCCAGTCCGGCCATTTGCTTCTACATTCTTATGATGGTGGCCGTGTGCGGCTCGTTTGCCTTTGTATGAGCGGCCGTTCAAACACCGCTCAAACACTCGTCCTACTCCAGCCCTTGCAACCCGGCACACTGCAGTGCTGGATCCGAGTAGCCCTTTTGTTGCATGGCCCCTGACGGCAGAGGTCCTCGCACGAAGGACTCAAGCAATTAAACTGCTGCAACTATGCTGGTACTGCCGTCTCATAGAAAAATGACTAAATGACCAAATGACGTGATGGCGACGTACTGAGTGCAAAGGCTGAATTCATTGCCCCATGTTTCACCTTTCTCAACAGGCTGACATTGCCGATTCGAGTTACGAACCTGGCCTTGTTTTTGGGGTTTTGGTTTGTGGGTTTGTGTTTTGGGTTTTTTGCTTGTGTTTTCCCTTGTCGGTGTTGTTTGGCCTCATGGTTCGTAACTCTCTCTTTACTAGCTTAAGGTGACTTGTGCATCCTCTGCACACATAGCGCCTCGACCCGTGCAAAAAAAAACAAGTGCTCTTGCACCTGGCCTGTTTCCACAGGCCTGCTGCCCTCCTTTTCGCGCAAGAACAAGCCAGCCACAAGCTAGCAAGATTTGCTCCGGAGCTCATTCCTGAATTCAACGCCCAAGTACAAAAGAGTCATAGTTCAGTCTCACTCAGGTTTCACTCCACATGTGCAGACTTCGAATCTCCTCCTCTCTCGGCTCTGTCTTTTGTTGTTTTGTTGTGTGTTTGGGTGGGTGTTTTTCTGCTCCTCTGAGAGAATTTGGAGATTCAAACCTGGTCAAAGATGACCTGTGCACCATGCACACATGGCGTCTCCACTCGTGCAAAAAAATGGGGAACTTTGGCGACCCTGGAATCCACTGCGTTGGCGCTTGGTTCTAGGGCCGTCAGTGGACAAGCCTCTGGAAGCGGGGCCGCGCAGGACCAGCTGGAGTGGAAACTGGAGGGAGAGAGCACGGGTCCTGCAATCACGCTGTGGCCACAGATTCGTCATTCCGACGGATCAACCTCCTCCGAGTCCAGGATATGATCCAAATTGGCCAGCAGAGACACGGTGAACAAGCTCAGCCTCCCAGTTCGTCCGCATTGCAGTGGGAGCATTGTTCGTTGCTGTTCACGGTCAAAAACATGTGCATGAACCAGGAAGTTGCTGTCGAGAGTTTGCACCACCAAAGGATGAAGCGGGCACTTGGCGAAGTGCACTCCTGTGGGCTTGGCTGTCCAATTGACATCTCGAAAAAACACCAAAAGCAGTTTGTGAAACGGATCTCTCTCACAACAACAAAAATGAGGTGTCGTGCTCCTCAGCTGGTTTCCTCCAATACAATTGCCACCCGTTTGAATCTTCAATTTTGTGCAGGGAATCACTTCTCCACATCTCTTCCAAAATCCTCGCCATGTTCAGTGTTGGGGTCTTGGGACAGGGGCACTAATAAAAGATGACAAGAAGGAGGTGGGTGACTTCGCGAAGATGGCGCTTCTGACACATGCCTCACAACCACTTCCACACCCAACTCACCCCAACACCACCTCAAATGGCAGACATCGAAACCACCCATGAACTTCTTTCCTCGAAACCAAATTCAGCCTCAAAAACACGACAGAAATTCCGAGACCGGTTCATTGGGCCCCTAGAGCATGCCCAAGGAGCTGACAGCCCTCCGGTAGCTGCAGCTCAAGGTCAGCGGTTGCAGAGATCAAGATTGCCTGAGCATAAAAAACAAACACCACAAAAAACACCCACACAAACAACAAGCAACTCACCAAAAAACATTCCAGGAAATCCTGCAGACCCCTTGACGGGATTTTTTTGGATGCATTCGCGGTTTGTTGGGTCTGAGACTTTGAGTTGAGCTGTGGCTGCGGCTTCCAGCTCCTTTTATTCACCTGTATTGCCGGTGGGATCCGGCCTTTTGCTGTGGGGCCGTTGTGCTTTGTTGCATTCTTGCGATGACGGTGGCACCACGCGTGCAAAAGAATTCATGCTGTCAGAGCCAGAGAAGTGACACAACACAGAAGGCGGGAGGTTGATTTCAGAATGTTTCTTTTTGCGCCGCCATGCGTGCAGAAAATGCACAGGTCAGCTTGTGCTGTTTTGTGAGTGAGTCTCCTGCCAGGAAAGGGCAACACAAGCAAAACCAGAAACCAAACCAAATCAAACACAAAAAAACCCAAACAAACAAAGGGGTAGCAGCAGAACCAAACACGGAAAAGGCGAGGAGACTCAGATTCATCATGCAGGACCTAGAGTGAAACCTAGGTGAGACATTTATTGGGCAGTGAATTCTTGCAAAACGCCTCAATGTGAGCAATCTGAAGTGCGGTACTAACTTATTTCTGGCAGCATCGAGGGCACTAAATTTGGAGGCCTGTTTACACAGGCCATTTTACCAGGTACTCAAGGATGTTCATTCTATGCTCACGTTTGTATATCACTTGAAGAGGCATGGGCAATACAACCAGGCGAACTGTGATCAGCTGCAAATAAGAGCAGCGGCCAAACATGAAAGGATGCTCCTGGATGTGGCTTATGGAAAACCACTGCTGTCAAAGAAGCCTCTAACGCGCCAAACGAAAGGGTAGTTCCTTGCCAGCAGTGCGGCCTTTCATGAGTGGTATGTCGGACTGTCTATGGTTTGCGGTTGGCAGTCAGCAAGGCACTTAGGTTGATTGATTTCTCAATGTTTCTTTGGGTGGGGAAAAGTGGAAATGTTTGAAGGAGAACAAAACAGAACTTTGCATGTCCTAGTTTGAAAGAGAGATGTTTTTTCGTTTTCGTGATGTCAGCAAGCGTCAACAAGTTCGACAACAGCTGGCAGTGTTGTAGAGTTGCTTTGGTCTTTCGGAAAGACGTCTTGCAGTTCGTGTTAAACTGTGTCTGCATGAGCCGCAATTGTCATGGGAAAGCTCGAGCTGGTGAGAGAACCACGAGACATGGCGAATGAGAGTTGATCCTGGTCCAGGCCTCATGTGTGCAGATTCTGGCCTTCATCTTGTGTTAAAGAGCCTCTCACATCCCTCAATGCGATCCTTCGCGCCTCTCTGCCTTCCATTTCCTTGTTCCTGACAGCAGTTGAAGTGCGCTGTCAACTTCACCCCATGACCACATTGATGTTTTCTGACGGAGCCAGTTTTCGTCTCTTCCCCTCCAGGCTTTGAACGCAGAAGACTAAAGCCACCCCCAAAGCAAAAAAATATCTCCAAACAAAGCTCGTTGAACATCCGCAACCGTTTTTGATTGCGTTTCCATCCTTCAAAAATCTTTAATTTTCAAACACTCAAAGCCTAAAGCCATGGCAACACTCATTTGTCCGTCGGCTCGGCTGTTTTTGATTTTCATTGGTTGTGGACACTCGTTTCATTGAGATGTACATTTCTCCACCGCAGACCTTCCTCAAGGAGCTTCGACAAACCTTTTTTTGCAAACTTTTCGACACACCTTTTTGAGGAGTGCATGAAAAGACCAAGGCATGCTGAACATCAAATGATCAAACAACTTTGCACATCATCTTTTCAGGGTTGGGGCATTTTGGCAAATCAAGGAGTGTTGGGTCAAGCTCCCGAGCTCAAGTGCATGTGATGAACGATGAGATTCGGATAAATTGACATCTTGAAGTCGATTTAATTCTTCAGTGGACCGTAGACCTCAATTGAACAGTTGCGAACAAAATATGTTGCGCATAACAGGTTATTGCTTTCAAAATTCAAACAAAGGTGCGTAATCTGTAAGCTGAGAAAACCGCTTCGCAATTTCGCCATGCAAATCAAAGTGCTTTGTTTGCTTCTGGTGGTTTTGGCCGTGGCAGTGGCAGTGGGTATACATTCGATTATGGTTGCTTTGAGAGCTCCACTACCTTTCACTGTTTCGGTGGAGTACCGGGGCCAGGTGCGAAAATATCCGCCAGAGCCAACTGAGGGCAGGCCGGAGGGTAGCGATTTGCAAGTGGAAAAGGAGCAACCTTGTGGTTTCTGGGAGATCTTCATCAATCACAACGAAGGACCAGGCGTACACAAGTGGACACACTACTTCCCAATTTATGAAGAACATTTTGGACATTTTTGCAGAGGTCGCGAGAATTTGACCATGGGGGAGATTGGTATCCACTCTGGCGGCAGCTTGCTCATGTGGCGTCAGGCTTTTGGGGAAAAGCTGCAGCTCCTGGTTGGTATGGACATCAATCCAGACACCAAGGCAGGGATGTTGGACATGTGTGTTCTTTAAGCAATCATAAGGTGTACATGTGGAGATTCATTTTTTAAAAGCCCTTCAAGAGCTGGACTTCCATTGGTTAAGTATGGTCCGTATGGTTATGTAGGGTTGAGCCTGTTTGGCTTTTTGAAGTGCGCAGAGTTATACCCCAAAGCACCAAGCTGCTCCAAGGCATGGGAGCGCTTCGGGCCGAATGTCAAGGTGGAAATCGGGAGTCAGGGAGACCCACAGTTTCTGCAGAGCGTGAAAAGGAAGTATCCTGAAGGTTTTGACATCCTTTTGGATGATGGCTCTCATATTCCAGATCATCAGTTCACCACCTTCGTGCATATGTGGGAGATGATCCGTCCTGGTGGTGTGCTTCTAATAGAGGATGTTCACGGAGTGAATCCGTTGTTGCATTGGCTGCTTCATGGGCACAGCCACGAAAATGCCTCGATGCCTGGTTGGTATTACCCAAATGACAAAGAGACCGGCAAAGCGACGGAAGTTCCCACGGATGACGGAAATCGGCTGAATCGGGCTCCAATGATGGCCTTCACATCTCTGAGTGTTCAGAGAGAAGTAGAGAGCATCAAGGTCTACCCATTTGTGATTGCCATCACCCGGCGCAAGGTTCCCCTGGTGGATGTCCAAGCGATTCAGCACGGCTCGCAATGGATGCCATACTGAGGGCTTTCATGCCAAATGCGCTGTGGCTAAAATGAGCGTCAATTGAGTCAATTGCTAGGGGTGTTATTGGCATGGCGATAGGAATACATCGAGAAATGATGGGTGCCTGAAACACTGTGCAAGAATGCGACGGCACAGCCCGAAAGGCGCGTTCCACAGAAGGGCGCACTTTTTTTCTTTTTAACGTACCCATGTTTCAGAACGGGTCACAGGCATGTACCTCTGCGGTAGGCACAGCACAGAAGAGCTTTGCTGCAGCCAAGAACATGCTCAAATGCAACTGTGTTGTGGCAATTTTCTTAGACATTCAAAGGGCAACGTGATCCCACGGCCACAAAACTGCAGGCCCGATCTTGTACTACTCCAATCAAAAGCAAGTTGGCAAATATGGCAACAGTGGGGTCCTTGAGAATGAGCCATGCATCAACAGAAGTGTGTCAAAGTCAAGTGGACATTTAGCAGGGAGAATTAAACAAAAACAAATCAGCAACAGTTTAACCAGAGAGAATTCTAAACATTGCTTACCTCCCTCTTTGTTTCAGACATTGGTTCATGAGTTGACACAACACGCGTGTGTACCAAGGCGGTTCATGTAGGAAGCCATGGCGTTGCATCCTCGCGGTCATGGGGTTTTAAGTGAGGTCCCTGTCGAGCTTCGGTGGTTCTGGTTGTCACAGAGGCAAAAATATGTTTTTTACTGAATTTCCCTGTGTGGTCCCATCTGGGAAACTCAGCGAGGGTGTTTGTAGCTTCTAGATGCTTGCGCCTTGGAAACGAAGCTGATGGGAGAAGATACCGGAGGATGATAACCCTCCAAATATGTAGATAGAACCAGGAAGTGCCTTCGAATTGATATCCCTTCCCTCTATTTCGGGCGCTGTGAAGAGAAGATGTGAGTTTCCTCCCTTCCTTTGGGGAGACTCTGACCTGCAGGGGAAACATGCAGTGGGAGGACGTGTGCCGGACATGGTCTGAAGGTCTTGCCCAGGAAGAGCCAGGAAGACGTGTATGAGGACTGCATCATGGGACTAGAACTCTTGGAATACTCATTTTCCCATGATGTCTGGGGGATCGTCAAGCTATGGTAGGGTTGATTAGGGTGTTTGATTCAAGCAAGTAAGTTTTGCCTCCAAACCTGAAATCCTTGGCGGATTTCTCAGCTGAGAGCTCCAGAGTTTCTCCATGATGAGGCGATGGAAGGAGGTCGAAGGAGCAGCATGTTCCCGGCACTCGTGGGGGTGCCGAGATGGCTCTTCACATGTGGGGCACGGCATTTTGGCATTGCTGGACTCCCAGGAAGAACCACATGGACCAAAATGGGCGGTCTAGGATTCTGGAACCATACTCCCGGAAAAACGAACTGCCGGTCCAGATCGATGTGGCTGTTCTTGCGGTTTTGCCAAGAATCACCAAACCTGGATTAGAGTCAAGACTCTTGAAGGGCTTAGTCTTGTGATGACCCGAACGACAACGGTGACGCCGACGCCGACGACGACGACGACGACTGTGCGAACCCGGAGATGTGCTTGTGAGACCTGTTAGAGATGGCTAAAGACAGGTTGTATTCTATCTTCTACTATAAAGCACTGTCTTTAATTGTAGGTAGTGTATGAAGGGGTTATTCAACAACAAGTGGTTCACTATAGGTATGCTTTCTGTTCTTATCAGTGTCAGTTTGTGCTCAACAGCCTAGGAATTCACGTTTGGTGCATCGGGTTTTCGTCAGAGCCCCTGTGCCTTCTACCAAGCCCCAGAATTCGATTTTCGCTTGGCGACCAACAGGCTGAAGGGCTGTGAGGTGGATGAAACCAACTTGGAGTAATCACTTGACAACGGCAGCTGAGCATTGGCTGTACCATGTGTTGTAATCCGCACAAACTCCTTCTGGACACCGAGTGGTTGAATCTCAGACCGCAAAAAAGATCTCCAAAGCCATGTGATGCTCCACGTTGACGCCGAAAGAAAAATCGATGGAAGCTCCATGTGGCCAGCGGCCATTGCTGGGCAAAGCTATCGATTCATGAAAGCCAAAAAATTCCACGCATCTGGGTCTCTGGGTCTGGTTTTGATTGTAGTATTCTGAAGCTGGAAGGCAAGCCAGGAGGTTTGAATCCCGTGACCAACATCAACAGTGACCGATATAGGGGCTGTTGAAGACGAAGTTGAAGTTGATCCTCCAAGAAAGAACAAGGCAATTCCCGTGAAGCCCAGGGAATTTCCGAGGTAAGGACAAGGTCACCCGCCCTTTTGGTTCGGCCCCAAACTCCTGGAATCGGTCGGAAAAGAGAAGGAGGTTTTCTTCAAGAACTGGTTCAGAGGACTTCCTTTAGAGGACTTCATGTTGGTTTGATCCAAGTGAACCCCCCCAAAATGCCTCAAGAATCCCTGACCACGAGAAAGTCTAGCTTCGAAAGTGAGGATCATGAGAATCTCGAGCAAACAAATGCCGAATCGTCTCGATGTGGCGGAAGCGCTCAGATGCCTTTCCTCTACTTTCAGCAGCCCCTCTTCGAGGAATCGGACCATGCGCAGGAGTGCCGACGAGATGTTTCGGTTTCGCTGGTCTTGCAACGGAAGGCGGTTTCTGGGCCGTGCAGGCAGAGGTTCATCCACTGGTGCATCCTTTGGTGATTTGGAAGACCGGTGAGACGTGTGTGGATGTGGATAGAGTTTGTTGATTCGACACCAAAAAAAAACGACTTGCCAAGCTGAATCCAATAGAATGAGGACGCTGGCCACGAGACGGAGACAGGGCATATCCTTTTGCCATGGCGCCCGAACCTTGATCGGGGGCGCGTTCAGTTCAGTTCGGCTTCTCTAAAGCTGAATGGCTGGATGCTTAACACCGCTCCGGCCGACCATCTCGGTTGACCGGGAACCGGGGACCACGTGTCCCGATCCGCCCGGCTAGGACTGGTCGGCGTGGGAACTCAGCTTCGCTTCTTCGGAGCATCTGACCGACCGGTGACGCCGAGCGTCGGTGTGTGACTCGTTCTCAGCCGACGCCGGAGGGTCGGAGGAACGTCCCCAAAAGAAGCCGTGGCACCACGTCAGACGTGCCGTCTTGCTCCGTCCAAGCTTGCCTTTTTGGCACGTGGTGCTTTTTCACCAGAGGATCTCCAGAACCAGTGTGTCCCATAAGTCGGAAGAACCAGGGTGAGTTCAATAGACAGTACAACTGGTCATGGTTTGGGCCTTCCGGGCTTCCTGGCGACTCCGCATCCGTCGGACCCGTCGCTTGTGTTGCACCCACCATCTGTGCGTGACCCAATAAAGCTCCTTCCAATGCTGACTCACTTTGATGCACTCTAGGCAGAGCCGCTGGCCGAGAAAACCTCTGAGGCTGGAGGGTTTTGCGAAGCTTGGGCTGTTTGGAGGAGAGTCGGAGTCTTTCCATGAAATTCGGTGAATAGGAATAGGCAGGATGGGTGGAAGGGGCATTTCTGTGGAGCCATCTTGAAGAGATTGACAGGGGATATTTCCCTATATACCCTTCAAGTCCAAAGACCCAGTAAAACCTGGTCTTTGACCTCCTTGAGGAGTGCTTTCGTATGACCAACTCCAGTAAAATGGGGTCTTTGACCTCTAGGACCTGTCAGGTACTTGATCTTTATAGTATTTATCTCTATTTCAGATGCCTTCAAACTTTGCGATGATACGATTACATAAGAGCCTCACATTTACATGTGGGCACACTCCAAACCCTGGGAAACGATAGGGGACTCACAAAAAATTATACCCTTCAACAAGATTCCAAAACAATGGAAAACTATAGGGGACTCGCAAATCTGAGGAGGTAACAGCCACACATAGTAAATGTTGACCGTACTTGATATATATATATATATATATATTGTACCCCCCCTCCAATACACACCCTTTGTGTGTTCTATACCGTAAATTACAGTGTTTTAGTGATATTTTGGACTCATCTTTTGAGTTATATTTTGAGACATTTTTTTCACATGATTGTTTGGAACACTTTCTGGAGGGGTGGTACCATGTTTGGGGATGAGAATCTATCAGTTAATTGAAAGGGGAGTACCATATATATATATATCCTCAGGTGAAGATTATATCTGAGAACAAGAAGCAAACAAGAGCATTATTCAAAAAGTCTGCAGAAATCTTAAGACATCTTAAGATTTCCCTGGAACCAAGAAACCAAGAACCAAGATTGCTCAGAAGTCTTGGGGATAATCTTGGTTCTCGGTTCCAAGAAAACCTTCTCATCAGAACCAAGATTTTGCCCAAGACTTCTGTGCAATCTTGGTTCTTGGTTTCTTGGTTCCAGGAAAATCTTAAGATTTCTTAAGATTTCTGCAGATTTGGGAAGACTTTCGTCACACCACAGCATTTGCATCCTTTGTTCACAGCTACTCTGCCGGAAGGACATTCTTTACAAATGCAATATTGGATGAATGTAGGACTATAGTCCCATCAGATTATTTTGATATAAAAGCATTGTAGGACCATAGTCCCATCAGAATATTTTTATAAACACATTGATACAACAAAACTGATAGAGATTGACAGGACTAAAGTCTTTACATGGGCATTTGCACAGATTACATTCATACCTGTTTTCAATAGTTGGAAACATTGCAGCAATTGATCTAGTTTAACATTGTATACAGTGGAAGTGAATGCATCAAATGTTTTCTCAATAAGAGGTATAACTTGATATATGGAAAGTGTTTAAGAATACTATTGCAAGCAAACAATGAAAACATCTTTTGTTATAAAACTCCTTCATGCATTCATAAAGTCGGTTGTTACCAGCTTGTTAATGAACTATGGGAAACCGATCTTACTAAAGATGACAAAAAACTAGGAAACATCACCTTTGGAATGCTTTAAACATCACACAACACCGCACATAAGAGTTACTGTTTTAACACTTTGAGGGAGGCATGCCGTTGCCAGAGTGAGTTTGGAGGAAGGATTTATGCCATACGGGGCCATACGACAAGAAATAGAAAAAGAAGAAGAAACAACCATGCAATACCTATTACATCTTAAACACCA